AATTTATGTCACACTGGTATTATTTCTTCTCTCATGTTTCACTGGTGAAGCCGTCTTAGCTTACAATGTTCTTTATGGAAAGATTTTTAATTACATTTTCAATTTCTTAATTGAAATTTAGATTTTAAATTTGTATTGCCTATATGTCAGTTTTGAAAAGTATTTTTTCGTAAGTCTACTTATAAACACATAAAGTTGTTTTAAATAATGGGGTCTTAACCTAAGGCTTATGGAGGTTGCCAGGGGGGCTCCTCTTTGCTGTTTCATCTGGAGAAAACCCTGTTCAGCCTCTCAGATTCTCAAGTCTTGACTCTCTGAGAGTCAGTAGCTCCCTACCAGACTAGAGAAGTCCACAAGTGTGGGGCTCATCTCCCTGAGCTTCCTTCTTACAGATCTAAGAGCTGTAAAACTTTACTTGTTTGAAGGTACTCCAATACCTTCAAATATATTTTGTTCAGTTTTTTTCAAGGCAAGTTTGATCAAAATGTCCTAGTCTGACATCCCCAGAAGTGAAATAGACTAAAGAAAAATTCACTAGATTATAAACTCCTCAAATAAGATCCCTGTGCTCAAATTTTCTATCTTCAATATCAAGACAGTGCCTGACACTATTATTACTCCACTGAGTGATGAATCAGTGACCTGAAGGATAATTCTAAGCAAGTAAAGGAACTAAGAAGACAGTACTATTAAAAATAAGAACAATAAATAGACTTTCAAATCACAGAATCCTCTTTTGGTCTGTCTCTTATTCCACATTCTCTCTAACGAAACCCTGATTCAGGATTCACTCACTCGCCCACACTGCTATCTCATTTGGCTCATAGATTACGCCCTTCCCTCTAGTTCACTTCTCTTCAGTCCATCTTCCACAGTTCCAAGTCAAATCCTCTGCTTAAGATACTTCAAATGCCTCCTCATTTCTAAACGAAAAATTCTAATCTTCTCCTTACAGTATATAAGACACAAAACTATCTGACCTTAGGCTCTCTCATGAAACTTACCTTTCTTCCTGCCTGCATTCTACATTTTGTATCCCATATTTTGGTTACACAGAACTATTTCCATTTCATCAAAAGTGCTGTGCCAGGACTTCCCCCAAGATGGAGGCATAGGTGGAACCACCTTGCTTCCGTGCACAACCAAATCTAAGAACAACTATTTTTAACAACAAAAAACACAACCAAGCCACACAGAAAATTGACAATACGGAGTCCAAAGACAACGAAATGCTCAGCTAAACCGGTAAGAGGAGCGAAGCCAGCAGCGGAGCAGGTTGGCAAGAAAAATCCCCAAACGGGTAGTGCGCGAGCAGCCGAAAGCGCAAAGAGCAAGCTAGCTACAGAAGCACACAGGGAAGAGGCCCGGCTGGCTGTCTGCCGTCGGTCCCGCATCTGCGTGCAGATAAACCAGTGAAGAGGGGAGCAGGTGCGGGGCAGCAGGATCGCACAATTCCGATCGGATAAACAGGCCGGGGCAAATGGTGGGACTGCACGGACTGGGCTAGCGGAAAGGACCGCCATTGTTCCCTCTCGGACGACGCCCCCACACACAGCGTCACAAACCAGCGACCTGGGTGGTCCCGTCCAGGTAAACAACTAAGGCTTCACTCAGCTTACTTAACGGCATGAACAGACCAAAAATGGCTCAAGAACAACTCAGAGCCCCAGAGCCAATCAGTCTAAGTGATAAAGAAATAGCCAATCTTTTAGATGCACAGTTCAAAACACTGGTGATCAGGATCCTCACAGAACTGGTTGATTTTAGTCACAAATTAGAGAAACATATGGAAGCTAAAATAATTGAAATGAATGGTAATACAAAGGAAACCAATAGTAATGGAAAGGAGATTGGGGCTCAAATCAATGGAGTGGACCAGAAGGAAGAAAAAAATGATCAAACAGAAAAGAATGAAGAAACAAGAATTCAATAAAATGAGGAGAAGCTTAGGAACCTTCAGGACATTTTAAACGTTCCAACATTCGAATTATAGGGGTACCAGAAGGGGAAGAGTCACGAGTGGAAACCTTATTTGAACAAATAATAAAAGAGAACTTCCCCATTCTGGCAGAGGAAATAGACTTCCAGGAAATCCAGGAAGCTCAGAGAGTCCCAAAGAAGTTGGACCCAAGAAGACACACACCAAGGCACATCATCATTACATTAGCCAAAATTAAAATGAAGGAGAGAATCCTAGAAGCAGCAAGAGATAAGGGGACAGTCACCTACAAAGGAGTTCCCATCAGACTGTCAGCTGATTTCTCAAAAGAGACCTTACAGGCAAAAAGGGGCTGGAAAGAGGTATTCCAAGTCATGAAATCCAAAGACCTACAACCAAGATTGCTCTATCCAGCAAAGTTTTCATTTAGAATGGAAGGGCAGATAAAGTGCTTCTTAGATAAGATCAAATCCAAGGAGTTCATCATCATTAAGCCCTTATTATATGAAATGTTAAAGGGACTTACCTAAGAAAAAGAAGATAAAAAAGATGAACAGTGAAAGGACAGCAAACTCACAGTTATTAAGAACCACACCTAAAACAAAAGCAAACTAAGAGGACAGCTAGATCAGGAGCAGAACCATAGAAATGAAGATCACATGGAGGGTTAGCAACAGGGGGAGTGGGAGAAGGAGAAGGGGGGAGAAGGTACAGAAAATAAGTAGCATAGACAGTAGATAGAAAATAGATAGGGGGGAGGGTAAGAATAGTAGGGGAAATACAGAATCTAAAGAATTTGAGACACTTGTTCATGAACTAAAGGGGGAAATGGTGGGGGAGGGGTATGCAGGGTGGAGGGGAATGGAGGTGGGGAATAGAACAAATGTAATGGCATAATCAATAAAAAAGTTTAAAAAAAAAAGTGCTGTGCCAGCTTATGTCTCATAGTTTTAAGGATATTGTTACCTTTGTTTAAAATATCTTTTCCTCACTGACAATCTGGTAAACTCAACCTACTATTCAAAATTATACTCCTGATTCATCCCTGGGAAATTTTTGCAAACCTTCATGAAGGCCTAATCAACTTCATCCTTTATATTGCTACTTTACTTATGTCTAATTATAGCACTTACTATCCTACATTGCAATTATTACATCCTATGTGCTTAAGTACTACTTTTGAACAAATTGTAAAGGTGTACTTCAATAATATCTTCAAGACGTTTTCAATCAAAGAATCTTTGCCAATTTTCTATTTCTATCTCCATTTTCAAAAATTTTTATCATCTAAACTGATATTGCATTCAAATTAATTTTAACAATCACTGAATACCTATCTCATACCAGGTACCACTGATAAATAAATAACACAATATTTAAAATGCTTTAAATCTCTTATTCCCAGCAAATCCACTTCAAGAGAAATAACATGAGCAGAGAAAGAATAAAATAGATAATAAACAGGTATAAGGTTTCTAAACTCCCCAAAAAGTACCTCACAACCATATGCATTACATCACAAATTACAGAAAACTAAGATGCAAAAGAAAAAATAGATACGCATTAGTTTCTGTTTTCAGATCCTGTAATTCTACATTGCCTAAAATTATAGTATTTACAGTAGAAAAACAATGAGAGTCAACCACACCCAAGTAGTTATGAACACATTTGTATAAACGGTTTTATTTTTGTAGATGTTTTTAGGTAAATAAGGCACTTCTTGTAGATCCTCCATGTCTAAGCTAGACTTCTAGAAAAGGTAAGAATAATTTCAGTTCACAATAAACAAAATGCATTTGTTCCTCAAAAGTAATTTAAGCAATCTCTGTTTAATGATCTACAGAACAGGTGATGCTTTCCTTTGTAAAATACAGAACACAGTCAACAAAATGCATTCCATTACCCTCCAACACGTATTCATTTTCAAGAGATAAAAATTCTAATATGGCATGAACTAGTTAAAAGAACACTGGACTAAGTCAAGAGATCAATCCCAGCTCCACTTTTAATGAAAAACAAAAATTATAGAACCAGAGTGTTAAGGCTTGAATATTTGCTTTAGGCATCATCTCTAAAACTAGAATAAAAACAATAGTACCTGCCTATGAAACAGCAGGCAGTACATAATGCTAGCTAATAATATAGCAAATAATACTATCTTTGAACAGCTCTATGGAAGAGTCTAATTAAAAAGTCATGTGTTAAAATCTTTAAGCATTCATCAAGATGAGCAGACCTATGTTGCCTGTGCTACTATACTCAGTTCTCATTACCCTCTAAACAAAACTGAGGTAGGACAGAAGGCAATGACAGGGAAGATATTTTGTTTTCTGTTTTGTAAACCTGTTATGGTCTTTCTGTTCATTTCATTTGTTCACCATTTCCGTTGAGTCACCATGTAAACCCTGCTTCTGCTTATGTCCTCATACATAAACTGAAATACTGTGCTACAACCTAACTTGTTACTGACTTCAAATTTGGCTTGGAGAAAAACTCTACATTTTCTTTTACTCTATATTTAATCTAAGAATTCTCATGGAAACTGTTGGCTCTTCCTATCCTAAATCAATTTGAGCTTACAAGAAATATCTAGTTACCAATTTTGGTCTCTCTATACTATTTTGTTTACTATAGCTGCACTCTGAGTTGATTAGGGATTGCATTATAAGCTCCTCTATCCCACTCTGGAACTAAGAGGCCAAAGCAATCAAACAAGCATCCTTAGTATTACACAGTGACCAAGCTCATGTCATCAATTAAAAATCAACAAGAACAGAAACCCACAACAAACCCACCCATTTTTCATTCCAAGGTACAATTGAACAAGCACATATTATTGAATCTACTTGGGGCCTATTAAAAAACAACAACAACCCAGTATGATATAGCTCAAAACCTATCATTTGCTTACACTAATATGAAAACTACAATATCTATATTGAAATCCAAGATTTAAAACGCTTATGGTGACTATGACTCAAAATGTTACATGTACGTATGTAAGAAGGTGGGGGCTGAAAGAGTGTCAGAGGGGCAAGGAGACACACATTTAGGTACTTACTTGTTCCAATTTAAAGATGTGCTGATTAAAGTAGTGCTGTAAACGTTCATTAGCAAAATTAATACAGAACTGTTCAAAGCTGTTATTTTCATAATCTTCAAACCCAAAAATATCAAGAACACCAATAGACAAAGTCTGTAAAACAGGAAACAATTATAGTTAAAAAATGATGCTCAATTTTAGTTCATGAATAATATCTACAATAAAAGGAACAAAATGCTCCAAAGTTCTATAGCAGTGGACAAGATTGAGGTTTGGGAGTGGCTAATGTTGAACCAAACTAGCACAAATAAAAAGCATTTTAGCCCTGGCTGGTGTAGCTCAATGGACTGATCGCCAGGCTGTGAAGCAAAGGGTTGCCTGTTCAATTCCCAGTCAGGGCACATGCCTGGGTTGCAGGCCAGGTCCCCAGTAGGGAGCAGCAAGAGGCAATCCCACACTGACGTTTCTTTCTCTCCCTCTTTCTCCCACCCTTCCCCTTGCTCTAAAAGTAAATACATTAATTTTTTAAAGCATTTTAGTTCTCATCATCTTCATCTTTTCTTTTTGTCCTATTTTATAAATCCAAAAATTTAACACATATGATCCATTGACTATTCTACATAAATGGACAAAGCAGAGTTAGCAGCCTGTTATCTCAATCTCAGAAATCCCTGAACTCCAGGAGAAAAGGATTGGAAACAACAGGCTATGAGAAGACAAAAGTTGCTTCAGTAAAATTAGGTCACTCCTATCTATACCTTGTTATTAATCAAGAGGACCATTCGATTTCTTCTACTTTGACTTCCATATCCCAATAGATTTCTGCTTTAAAAACCAAGCTGACAAGAATGCACAACCAGCCTTGTGCAAGCCAGAAACAACACTGATTATCAGAATATATGGTTTCTTGAAGTTAAAATTTTTATATTTCTTTTTAAAAACTGGCCCTGGCCAGTGTGGCTCAGTTGGTTGGGCCTCATCCCATGAAACGAAGGGTCACTGGCTCAATTCCTGGTAAGGGCACATGCCTAGGTTGCAGATTCGGTCCCTGGTTGGGGCACGTGCCAGAGGCAACCAATCTATGTATCTCTCTCACATCAATCTACTCTCTCTCTCTCTTCCCCCCTTGCTAAAATAAATAAATTTTCTAAATGTTTTTTAAAAAACTGCACAAGGTTTGTAATGTTAAATAGTTCTAAAAGAATTATTTTTAAAAAACAGCAATCTCTTCTTCATCCTCAATTTCTGCACCCTAGAGTCAACTAAAGTCAAATCATCTAGCTTTTTGGCATGGAATAGTATAGTATAGTATAGTATAGTATAGTATAGTATAGTATAGTATAGTATAGTATAGTATAGTGTAGTATAGTATAGTATACAAATGCTTATTCTTTTTTCTTGTAACTTTGTTTTATTTATTGATTTTAGGGGAAAGGAAGGGAGAAAGGGAAAGAGAGAGGAAGAAAGAGAGAGGGAGAAAGAGAGGGAAAGAGACAGAGAGACAGAGACATTGATTTGCTGCTCCACTTACTCATGCATTCATCGGTTGATTCTTATATGTGCCCTGACAGGAGATCTAATGTACAACCTTGGCATATAGCGCAGGTGGCAAACACAAGGCCCACAGGCCGAATCCAGCCCTCCACCTCGTTTTATCCAACCTGGCACCTTGTTTCTACTCAGCGGCAGTGTCAAGCTCCTTGCCCCCAGTTAAGGAGCAGTTACACTTATACAGTCCTAAAATTACATACAGCCCTTTGAAAGCAACCGCGAGGCTGATGTGGCCCCTGGTGAAAATAAGTTTGACACTCCTGACATATAAGGATGAAGCTGTAACCAAATGACCTAACTGACCCTTGGCCAGGGCCAAAATGTTTACTCTTCTCTTTCTTGATATTTCACGTGTAGAAATTATCTTCTAACTTCTACTGTGGATGACAAGGATTTAACTCAAATATACCAAAACCAACATTCTTCTCACCACTCTACCTCATTTTTTAAATATAGTTGAATGACAATTTTGGTTAAATGAAAACAATTTTTCTCCACTGGTGCTAAGACAGATACTAGGCAAACTGATGGAATGAGTTATAAATAGTAAGACATTTTTAAAAGTCTCCATTAAAAGTAATTTGTTTCCCATAAGTATCTAAATCTATAAAATTGAGTTCTATTTCCTACTATCCCTCACCCCAAAAAAGTATTTTATTGAATTCTGCTGACTAAATTCTAAGCCCTTATGAAAATAATAGCCTTCAAAAATCAGTCAATTTGGTAAATTAGATTACAATTAAAATTAATACTGTAACTATAGGCTTACAACAAAGCATGAAAAGTTCAGATAAATGCAATTTTACATTTAAATTAAGTAATAAAGATGACATTTCTTCTTTTTATTTTTTCCTTTTCTCCATGTCCCAGCACTTGATGACAGAACTGACAGACTGGAAGCCACCAACACCACAAGGGCCAGAGCCCTTTCCCTTGTCCTCAGTACATTACAGGAACCAGGACAGTACACAGGATCCCCACCGCAAAGAGGAAGATTAGAGATGACATTTCTAGGCCTTGGCCAGGTAGCTCAGTTGGTTAGAGCGTCACCCAGATAAGCCAGGGTTGTGAATTGGATTCCCAGGCAGGGAACATATAAGAATCAACAAATGAATGCATAAATAAGTGGAGCAACAAGTTGATTTCTCTCTGTCCCTGTCTGTTCCTCTCTCTCCCACGCCCCTCTAAAATCAGGTTTTTTCAATGTTAAAATTTTTTTTATATCTAAATTTTTTTAAAAGATGATCTTTCTAAACAGCCTGAAAAGGCAGACTATTCCATGAAAGTTCTCAGGAAATATAAATGAAAATAATCTTTAAATAATTAAAATTAAATTATAAAATCTACCATATTAAAAACAAATTCCAATTGGAAAAAATTACTGAATATAAAACATTACATTCTCCTGGCTGGTGTGACTCAGTGGATTGAACACCAGCCTGTGAACCAAAGGGTCACTGGTTCAATTCCCAGTCAGGTCACATGCCTGGGTTGCAAGCCAGGTCCCTAGTGGGTGGGGGCGGGAGGGGGGGGTAAGAGGCAACCACACATTGATGTTTCCATCTCTTTCTCCCTCTCTTCCCCTCTGTCTAAAAATAAATAAAATCTTAAGAAGAAACAAAACAAAAAAATTATATTCTAAAAGCATGAGAATAAATATTGTATCATCTTGGGCTGAAGAGGCCTTCCTACATAAGAAAAATAAATAAATCAGCCCAGGACAATAAATAAAGAGAATATCAGAATTCACTATTACAGAAGTTTAAAACATATGGGGTTAAAAAACACATGAACAAATCTTTGCAATCAAGAGGAAATATATGTAATGTATGTCAAACTTAAGTCTCTACAATATCCACAATGACACTTAAAGAGGAATAACAAAAAAATGAATATAAAAATAGGAAAAACATATAAATAAAAGAAATAAAATAGAGAAAACATGAGAAGATGCTCAATTTTCATCTATCATTAAAAACCTGGGCACCTTGGCTGGTGTAGTTCAGCTGCTTGGAGCATCATCCAGTAAGACAAAAAGCCACAGGATCAACCCTGAATTGTGGCTCAGTCTCCTGTGGGGGCATGTGCAAGAGGCAACCAATTGATGTTTCTCTCTCACAATGAAGTTTCTCTTCCTTTCTCTCTTCCTCCCTTCCCCTCTCTCTAAAATCAATAAGCATGTCCTCAGGTGAGGATTAAAAAAAACAAACACTAGCAACAAAACAGGCTAGTCCTCCATATCAGATTAGATGAAAATACCGGTAACATCCGATGTGAGGAAAGGAAATAGGGACTTTCATACACTACTAGTAAAAGTGTACAGTGTTTTTTGAAAAGCCACAATGTTTTTTGAAAAGGCAAATTAGGCACTGGCTGGTGTAGCTCAGTGGATTGAGCCGGGCTGCAAACCATAGGGTCACTGTTTGATTCCCAGTCAGGGCACATGCCTGGGTTGCGGGCCCGGTCCCCAGTGGGGGAGCCACGTGAGAGGCAACCACACATTGATGTTTCTCTCCCTCTCTTCCGCCTTCCCTTCCCCTCTCTCTAAAAATAAAAAAAGAAGTAAAATATTTTTTTAAAAAGGCAAATTAGCAGCAGCTACCAAAATTTTTAAACCTATATATTCTTAAATCCATCAATTCATTTTAAGGATTTTTGTCCTAGAGAAATGTACATAAAGAATATTTGTTACATTATCATTTTAACAATAAAACAAATGGAATATATTTTTAATGGGTGAACCTATGGTTACACATCTAAACTATATATTACTTGTTAAAAATAATGAGGCACACATAGATACAGGGAAGAGAGAGACAGCTGGCTGAAGGGAAGGGGGTTGGGGACTGGGTAAAAAAGGTAAAGGGACTGAGCAAAAAACAAAAAAAACAATAAAAACCCACTGCAAAGACACAGACAATAGTATGGTGATCACCAGAGGGAAATGGGGGTGAGAAGAGGTAGAAGAGAGGTAAAGGGAGGATAAATAGTGATGGAAGGAGACTTGACTAGAGGTGGTGACACAATACAATATACAGATGATGTATTATAGAACTGTATACTTTAAACCTATATAATTTTCTTAACAATCACTCCAATAAATTCAATTTAAAACAACTGAATATAAAACATAATATTCTAAAAGTATAATAATAAGAAAAATAGTAAGTTAGAAATACTTTTCAAGACATACTAGGTAAAAAAAATTACAAGTTATAGCCCTGGCTGGTATAGCTCAGTGGATTGAGCACGGGCGTGTGAACCAAACAACCGAGGTTCGATTCCCAGTCAGGGCACATGCCTGGGTTGCAGGCCAGTTCCCAGCAGGGGACACACAAGAGGCAACCATACATTGATATTTCTCTCCCTCTCTCTTTCACTTCCCCTCTAAAGATAAATAAATAAATCTTTAAAAAATTACAAGTTTACAAGTTGTAGACACAATACAGATAGTGTGGACGAAAGGGGTTCTGTGGAAAGTAACCTAACAAGGTGATCTGCTCGAAAATTCCTAACTGGGCAGGTCATGGCTGAGTACTCATGCCCCAGGCCTAGCACCTCTTTAGTGAAAAGCTTTAAGCCAGCCTGTCCACTGTTCTTGCGCACTTAGGTTAAGATACCTTTGAAATACCGTAAGTAATACCCCTCCAAGGGGTGTTAACCCTCAAGAAAGCATATAATCTCAACCATCCCGCTGCCTCCTCCCACCTTCATGTCATCTTTCTTATTTCCCTTCTAATTTCAAATGCATAAAAGATACCCCAAAAATGCTATACTCCTCAGCATTTGAGATCCCGTTGTTCCCGGGCATATGCTGCCAGTTTGGCTCAAATGATCCCATAAAAATTCTCCACAGGTTTGCACATTTCTTACCTTGACAACAGCATAATTGTATCTTTATGTTTAAAAGCAACACTACATGCACATCTATAGAAATATAAGTACATAAGAAAAAAAATATCTGGAAAGACACAGACTGCAAAGAACAGTTCCTCTGGATAGGGTAGTAATAACAGAAATAAGGACGGAAACAGCAGGGAATACAGATAAAAGATGATTCTTATGACTTTTATATAATTCTATCTTTTTAAGTTTAATCTATTAACCATTTTATTGACACCATTTTCTGGAAAAATATATATATGGATGTGTACCTTGGTATTTTGCTCCAAATCTTTACTATTCAGAAGTGCATGATTAATCCGAAAAACTATCCAGTCAAATAGGGCGCTATATAAAGACTTAGCCATGGAGTTCCTCACTGTCACAGCCTGAAAAAAAAGAAAGGGTTAGGAGTACAAGTGAAAATGGCAATAATTTGACTAAGATATAACAAAGTGTGTTTTGCTTTCATTCAAAAAAGAAAGCTCACTATCTCAAATTATAAATTGATTTTGCTCTCAATAGCCTATAATTAAAGTTTTCTATATACACTCATTAACTTGGTTCAACCCAAAGAATCTAGGCTAAAACTAATTGAAAGATAAGGGGAAATGCAGGTCACTCAGTTCAAAACAGTTTTACTGAAAATGTGTATATTTCACCTAGTAAAGAAGGTATACTAGAAAGTTTACAAACAAATGAACCTTGCCAGTTAATGTGGGGAAGACTATTAACAGGCAAAGCAATAAATCTGTTAGCAAAAAGATATCAGCTACCTGCAGAATCCTAGTCAGACTCTTAAAATATTATCATACTAGCACCACAATTATATTCCTGATTGTCTTCAGCTTGTCATTAATAATAACCTCTAGAATTTCTCCATCCCTACACAAAATAACAATTCTTTCATTATAGAGTTATGCAATTTATTTTCCCCTCATTTCAAACTTTTCCCAGTTTATGTAAACTCTGTACTATCTGCTAAATTTTTCTGTAAACCTGAAATTGTTTTAAAACATAAATTCTACTGAAGAAAATTCAACATTTAAAAAGTACTACAACCTGCCCTGGCTGGTGTAGCTCAGTGGATTGGGTGCAGGCCTGTGAACTAAAGGATCACAGTTTGATTCCCAGTCAGGGCACATGCCTGGGTTGCAGGCCACTTTCCAGCAAGGGACACACAAGGGGCAACCATACATTGATGTTTCTCTCCCTTTCTCCTTCCCTTCCCCTCTAAAGATAAATAAACAAAATCTTTTTTTAAATGTTTTTAAAAAAAGAAGTACCACAACCTAAAAGTGGAGCATGTATCTTAGAAAATTTTGTCTTAGCACTGAGGATACAATAATTTATAAATTTATCACCTAAGGACTTATTTGAAAGTTTGTATATTCAGGTACATATTTATATTCAGTTCTAAAGTTTATAGGAAGTAGAGAATGAAGATTAACAAGTTGACTATTTTACAATCCCAGTTTCTCCCCTTACTCTGTGTGACCTTAGTCAAATTACTCAAACTCTTAGGCTACAGCTTAGGTTTAAATTTAAATTTAAATTTATGCACACACAAATACTAGCTAAACAACTACCAAAGAGAAGACAGGTATCAATTTTTCACCTTTAACATTATCAACTCAAAAATAATTTTAAAATGTTTACAAGTTCTGAAAAAGAAATGTGGCCCTAGAATTCTGAATTTAGGCAAGTTACAACAAAGCTGTCTTTAAAATATCAGTAAAATCACAGAATATATAGAAAGAATTTCCATTCTATTTCTCCCAGAGAGAAAAAGGGGGAATAAAGATAATCTAATCATATTCAGCAAAAGTAAAACACTTTAAAACTAAATAAATAAGCATAAGATACAAAAATAACAAGAATAAGAAAACACATTGGTTATCACAATTTAGATGGGTTGAATATTTTTAGCTAAAAGACAGACCTTCACATTAAATTAAAAACTAAAACCCACGTCTTTGTGGCTTATAGTTAAGTACTATTTTCTTAAAACATAGTCAAATAGAATCCACATTTACCAAAGTATGCCAATACCTATTTATCCCATAACTCCCAATATTATATACTTTCAGCCTCTGTTCTCTGAAATGCAGTCCTGCCTATCACACCTTAAATCTCAATAAGCCCAAATTAATATTTTCCCACGGAAATAAGACCTCATTAGTGTCTCCTATCTCAATAAAAACAGTACCAATATAATTACAATTGTACGATCCAGAAAATTAGGATGGATCCTTGACATTACTTCTTCCTCCTTACTTCCCAGTAAGCAAATTGCTGCTGGATTTTATTGATTTTAGCATATAAAATTTTCTCATTTTAAATATATTCATTTCTATCAATATTTCACCATTCTAGACAAAGCAGGAAACATCCTTCTCCTCAGTACCACTACAGCCTCCACATTCACTCTTGTCCTGTGTTTTCGAATCCTAAGATGACCCTCAAGACTCCCACCTCCTGGGGTACATATTCTGTATCACATGTACAGAACTGAAATGCGGGCAGGACTATAAATATGATGGATTTCACTCTCCACATTGTCTCATGTTATATTACAAAAAAGTGAAGATTACAATTTAAAGATTTAATTATGGCCCAATATCAGTTGATATTTTTAGTTAATCATAGGAAGATTATCCTGGGTAGAGCTGACTTAGAGAAAAGTTCTTTAAAAAAAATGATTTGCCCCAACTGGGTAGCTCAGTTGGTTAGAGCATCACCCCAATACACCAAGGTTGTGGGTTCAATCCCTGGTCAGGGCGCATACAAGAATCAACCAATGAATGCATAAATAAATGGAACAATAAATCAGTGTTTCTCTCTCTCTCTCTCCCACCACCCACCTTCTTCTCTCTCTCACACACAAAAAATCAGTAAATAAAAAAATTTTTTAAAAATTGAGTTCTTCATCTGAGATTCTGCTGGTCTTGAACAAGCAAACTGCCATGTTGTCAACAGGACCACATGGCAAGAAATGGCAAGTAAACTCTAACTGCTAGGAATGGTCCCAGACATTCCATAGAAAGTAGATTCTCAATGTTACAACTGCAAGAAACTGAATCCTGTGGACGATCTGTGAACTTGGAAGAGGATGTTAAATGTCGGATGAGATCACAGCCTTGACAGACAACTTGGCTTCACCTGGGAACCCTGAGCCTAACGCCTAGCTAACCCATGCCCAGATTTAGTAATCCATGGCAACTGTCAGATAATAAAAATGTATTCTATCAAGTGTCTAAGCCTATTACATACTCATAGAAAACAAATATATGCTCTTCCAAATGACTCTTTACACATCTTTTTTGTTTAAAACATTTTAAGAGATTTCATTGCTCTTCAAGTGAAATACTAAAATCCTCATTTTATACCTAATGCCTAGCACATTACTGAGCACAAAGGTTTCCAAATATTTCTAAACAAATAAATACACTACACAAATGTAAATAAAAATAAATCGGAGACTATAAAAACAATCTTAGAAAGTTTGAAGTAAAAAATGTAAATAAATATTTTATAATGAAAAACGCTATTAAAGAAAATAGAAAAACAGTGACCATTTACATTAAAAAAACTTGGGTTTTTTCCATTATTTAGAAAGGGGCTCTCAAAATTGGAGACTATTAAATATGACATAAGATACCTGACATAAGGAAGAAATGCAGATTTGTAGGCAGTTAGGGGGGACCCAAAAAAGTAGGATAAATAAATCAATGTCAGCCCACAAAGCATTCCCTACAGTTCAATCACTGTTTTCCCACCCCTGTGTATTCTAATCTCATATTGCTATCCTGTTCTTATAACTGTCATAGTTCGATTTCTTACCACTTTAATAAAATTACTGTATAAAATAGATTCCTATTTCTATATACCTGATTAGTACAGTAAGAATAATGGCTCACTATAGCAAAAAAAACCACCTCACCTTATACAGATAATATTTAACACCATGAGACTAGGTAAAGTAATCTAAATAAGGAATATAAGAAGGAAAGACAAAGACTGTTGTAGGGCACCCCATCCTTCAAAGGTCAGAAGGAAAGAAAGACTGAACAGGAAAACTGAAAAAGTAAACCAGGCGAGTACGATTTGCCAAGAGAAACAAAACTGCCTCAAGAAACTGTAATCAGTTAGGTCAAATACTACTCATTTATAATTCCACCTACCATCAATGCACCCCATATTAATAACATGAAACCTAAGAATGGTGAACGGATTAAGATCTTTTTAAAAAATGAAAGCCTATTGCTTACTATCACATTCAACTTTAAGTTTCCAAGTTGAATCTAAGTTCACAATCAAATTTCAAGACCCCAGAAATATTTCAGTCAATACTTCTTTCTGGTTGTTATTTTCATTCTATTAAGAGAAACAACACAAACCCAAACTTCTAAAAATGTTCAGAGTATTTCAATCCAAAGAAAACCTATTCATACCTCTGCCAGCTTGTATGGTAAAATAAGCTTCTCTCCCACTGTCACAGTCTTCCTCGTAACTAATGCTTCAAATAGCATCTCTTCTTTAACCTACAGAGCAGAAAAGTAAATTCAATATGTGATACATGACAATGGTTTGAATTAAGCCACATAGAGAAAAAACGAGAGCAGCAAATATAGAGAAAAACGAAAAGAATACACTGGGAATTATAAATACTGGCCACAGGGGAATGTTAAGTGCCCCACACACTCCACTCCCCCCACTCCCCCAAAACAAAACAAGGGGTAAATAAGACAGATGGGTCTTTTTAAATCAGAGTTTTCTCTGGTTATAATTTTTTTAAAAAAATGTTTCGTTGTGCAGAACATGGAAAATACAGACTAGTACAGAAAGCATTTTTAAGATGATCAACCATAATGCCACAACCTGGACAAAAGGAATGAACAGTGACAGTACATCTTGAATTCCAGGAAAATTGCAATGAGTACTATTTAATGTTTCAGATGTTTATTTTTATTTACAGATGTTAAACTTTAAGATAAAGGTGATGCTTCCTTTGTTCTCACTCTCTAGAGGCCAATACTATCATAAATTCAGCATCATTCCAGTTCATATATTTATACATATATACATACATGTTAGATGTATTCATAAATTTTGTATTATACTGTCAAGTGTATTTAACTCTTATCTATATGGTATCATATTCCTATGTTTCTGAAATCTACACTGATAACTTAGATCAAGTGTATTCATTTTAACTTATACAGCATCTCACTATATTATTTCATTACCACAGTGTGTGATCCATTCTACTTTTAGGCACTACTGTAATTTACGATTTTGCACTTTTTGAAAATAAACTGCAGTAAATATTCCTGCATATGATTTCGAGACTTCCTCTGAAGTAGCATACATAAAAGTGGAATTACCAGGTTGTAGTGTACATGTTTTCAGCTTTATAGGAATATTGCCAAACTCCTGTACATAGTTTTTGCCAATCAGCTGCCTCAGCAGCAGCACCGAGTTTCCTATTTCTTCAAACTGTGACTATACCTGGTATTCTCGGATTTTTGATTTTTGCCACTCTGGTGAGCATGGTAAAACAAGGGTATTTTATAAAAGCATCTATACATAATAAATTTTTTCATAAAATTTTATGTAGGTAATGTAAAGTATTTCAAAAAACATAAGACTACAAGGAAAAAATGGGTTACAAAACAAGAAAGTGAGGTACTAGTCAGGAGAGTCCCTGACATCAGCAATTCATGACAGATCTATCATCTTTTAAAATATGACTGCACCCTAAAGAAAATATACCTTCTTCTGACCAACCCTCAAATTCTAAAAAATAAAAACAATTTGAGGCACATTACTTTCACAAAATGTAGTAAAACTAAATGTGTACAATTAAAAATAAAACCTGAACCTTTTATATTATATATTTTAAACATTTTGACAAAATATATTAATAAATTACACAAAAATAAAAAACATATGATTAAAAACCATTATTGTTATATTGGAAGGTATATTCCCAACTTAAGCAATTATTATTAAAAGTGGACGTTTAAAAAATAAATGCTCAATGCAGTAGTATCAAGAAATTTTTCTATAAGAACAAACAAATGGCAACAATGTGGAGCAAAGGTTACTTCCATACACTTGTATATACTGGTACAACCACTGCAGGGTCATTTGCCAATATCAGTAAACCTCCACATGTGTATATACTCTAACACGAAAGTCTACTTTTTAAATTATACCCTAGAACAGCGATTTTCAACCAGTGTGCCACAAGAATTTTCACAAGCATGCGATACCTATTTATTATAATGTTAGGAGTACTTAGCTCTCTTCCCTTAGACTGTCAAATAAAAAAATGACAACAGCCAACCCGACAATAGCTATCTGGTGTGAATGAATCAAAATTACACCTATTTTTTTTGTGTGGTCGGATCAGCAAAGAACATATTTTTTGGTGTGCCAAAGAATTTTAGCAATTAGTTTGTGTGTGTCATGAGATGAAAAGCATTGAAAATCACTGCCCTAAAATAATTCTCACACGTTAACAAAAAGACATGTACAAGAATGCCTATCATAGTGCTATCTATAAATAGAAAATTAAAAACAACTTCAATCACCACAAAAACATAAATTGTTGTATTTTCTTCATATAATAGAATTTTAAACAGCAGCTAAAAATAAGTATCTAGAATATATAAATCAGCACTGAAAAATTTCAAAAACAATATGGAATGAAAAAGTCAAGTTTTAGAATGATATAGTATGATATTTATATAAAGTCTGAAAACATGCAGGTAAAAAACCATATATTCTTTGTAGAAACATCTATCTATTCTGAAAATATAAAAACAAGAATGGGAATGATGAACACCAAATTCATAATAGTGTTTATTTCTGGTAGGGACAGAACAGAGAGTGGGCTTCAATTATATGCAATAATTTATTACTTCTGTGGGAGTATAAGTATATAGGTGTTAAATATATTGTTTTCTATGTATTATGTGCTGGAAACATTTCATAATCTAACAGAGAAAAAAGAAAAGATGTTAAAAGAGAAATTAATACATAAAATGGTAGAATTGATAAATCTAAAGGCCCATTATTTGAAAATAACACAAACAGAAAGCTAACACCATAGAAAAAAAATTTAATAGTAACAAAATATTTACAAAGAACACAAAATAGCACATCATAAACATTTAATCAGTACATGACTTCCTATAAAAACATGAATTGTCAATATTAATTCAAGTCAGACTTGAAAATCCTAAAAAATTAGTTAACAGAAGATGAACTGAAAAAGCACCAAATATGGTTACAGGCTGATATTTCTCCAATCTTTGTGGAACATAATATTCACTGCTAATTATATATATATATATATGTTTACTGATTCTAGAGCAAGAATAAGGGGGGTGGAGGGAGGAGAGAAACATCGACGTGAAAGAGAATCATGGATTTCTTGCTTTCCATAGGGGATCGAACCCATAACTTAGGTATGTGCCCTGACCAGGGAATCAAACCCCCAACTTTTTGGTGTACAGGATGACACTTTTAACCAAATGAGCTACATAGGCAAGGACTAAAAAATCTTTTTTATTTGTTTTTATCTTTTAAAAATTTTTTTCAATTACAGTTTACATTCAGTATCACTGTTTATCAGTTTCAGGCATACAGCATAGTGGTTAGACAATCACATACTTTACAAAGTGTTTCCCCTGATATTTCCAGTACCCTACTGGAAATATTATTATTGACTCCATATCCCCTATGCCGTATTTTACCTCCCCGTGACTATTTTGTAACTGCCAAATTGTACTTCTCAATCCCTTCCCCTTTTCGCCCAGTCCCCCCAGCCCCCTCCCCATGGGCTGTTTTCTGTATCTAGGAGTCTGCTTCTGCTTTGTTTGTTTACCTATATTGTTGTTTAGATTCCACATATAAGTAAAATCATATGGTACTCGTCTTTCTCTGACTTATTTTACCTAGCATAATACCCTCTAGGTCCAGATTCTTTTCTTAACTGCAGAAAAAATTATAAAAGGATGAAGAATACCCAACTCAATTTAAGGTGTTGGCTTAATATTGGCACTAAAACCTGATAATGATCACACACAGATTTACACACTATGCACAATCACACAAAACACAACTAATTTTGCTTCTATTTGATGAACATCCTAAGGAAAATACAACTGAATTCATGATATATAACTTTCTAAATATTCTTAGTTGTATGTAAAAATTTTTTTAAAGATTTTATTTATTTATCTTTAGAGGGGAAGGGAAGGCAAGAGGGAGAGAAACGTCAATGTATGGTTGCCTTTCGTGCATCCCCTGATGGGAAGTGGCCTGCAGGGAACCGGCCTGCAACCCAAGCATGTGCCCTGGCTGGGAATCAAACCTCGATTGTCTGGTTCCCAGGCCCGACCTCAATCCACTGAGCGACACCAGCCAGGGCTAAAATTTTTAATATAAAAAAAAACTTCGAAACAAAATAATGAGCAATGGGCTCGATATCTGATCTGTATTTCTCACAATCACCTGGCTGAGAAACTGATACATATGTTAAATAACCATTATTTAGCCCCGGCTGGTGTGGCACACTTGGTTGGAATGGTGTCCTATAAACTGAAAGGTTGAGGGTTTGATTCCTTCTGAGGGCACACACCTAGGTTACAGGTTTGATCCCTGGTCAGAGCACTGATGAAGCAACCAACTAATGTATGAGACAGCCAATCGATGTTTCTCTCTCTCTTCTAATTCTCTCTAAAAATCAATAAGCTTGTCCTTGGGTGAGAGTTTTTTTAAAAAACATTATTTATATTGTTTCAACAGGTATTAATAAAATATATTAAAAAAAAGAGTCCTAGCTGGTGTGGCTCAGTGGATTGAGTGCAGGCCTGCAAACCAAAAGGTTGCTGGTTCGATTCCCTGTCAGGGCATATGCCTGGGCTGTGGGTCAGGTCCCTAGTTGGAGGCATGTGAAAGGCAACCAACTGATGTATCTCTCACACACTGATGTTTCTCTCCCCCTCTTTATCCCTCCCTTCCCCTCTCTCTAAAAAAAATGGTAAATAAATAAAATCTTTTTTAAAAAAACATAAATGTGCTGAAAACTAAAGTTTTTGGTAATGGTAATAGTTCTAATATCTCACAGTGAAAATACGATCCACAGTTACCCACAGCTAATCTACTGGATCTTGTTTGCCTTAATAATTTCACAATTAGCCCTGGTTGGTATGGCTCAGTGGACTGAGTGCCAGCCTGCGAAGCAAGAAGTCGCTGGTTCAATACCCATCAGGGCACATGCCTGCACTGCGGACCAGGTCCCCAGCACAGGGTGTACAAGAGGCAACCACACACTGATGTTTCACTCTCTCTTTTTCTCTCCCTTCCCCTCTAAAAACAAATAAATAAAATCTTTAAAAAAATAATTTCACAATTATCCATCCCAAAAAGAACTTAGTAAACAAAAGATTCAAAATATTCACTGTTGCCTTGGGTAACTACAAAAAGTAATTTGAAAAATAAATAAAATTAACCCATTATTTAAAAACATATTTGTTCTTATAAACAAAATATATTTATCATTGAATTGAATCACTTGGAAATGGGGGAAATTAAGTTAAATCTTAACTAAAGAGTTTTATATTTTGATTAAACCAGTTACTATACCTACCTTTCAATTTTATCTCAACAAAATCCTTAAGATTGCAATTATTATTATCAACTGTAACCAATAGGAGATAATTTTTAAAAATAATTGCTGAGAACTAACTATAAGCAGGATACCATGGTAGGTCCTGTCATATCTTCCCTAGCTCCTCAACTCTGAAGATAACTTCTTTCTACTTATTATCAAACCTACAGGGTCCAGCACAAATAACGCCTTTTTTATTGTAAAGTCTTTTATTACCAAATCATAAGCATGTAATTCTGTAACACTCAAGCACAACATAGGTGAAATGTTCAAATTAAAACTATAGATTATTACAACCATATTATTACTCCCCCAACCACAATGAAGCAAGCATTACTTCTGCCGGACCCTGTATATTCCTGGAACCAGTCCAAACTATATATCAAATCATATTTGCTGTTAACCTACATTCTCAGGATTGGATTTCCCTTTTTTTTTACCAATACCCGAGTTCCTCTTTGAGTTGGCTAAAATTGCCCTTACCAGTCTCTCACCAAAGAAGGAATACTGTACTAGAACCAGAAGCCTTGGTAGTTGTTGAATGCCTGAATTTAATAAACCCACCAGCCGTAATCTATATATTACCACAATTCCAAATGTTTGACTAAAATATCACCTGAAATGCCTGACTGAAACACCATCTGTTCTCTGACCTTCATGATCTTCAAAATCACAACTTTTAGATGCCACACTCAACATCCTACTACAACTTTTTCCCAGTGAGTGAGTTTAGTTTCAATTTAAGGTATTCCTCCCTTCTCCTGTTCTGGTTGCCAGGCTAACTCGTTCCATTAAAGTTAATAAGGGACACCCCAGACAGGTACAAAATCATCATCACTCTAAGGTTAGATGGTTAGATAAGCAAGAAAGAGGCATCCATTTTTCTCAAAAAGCAGATACAATGGACACAAATTAGCAAGCACTTAACTTTCTGCTACAAAACCAAAAATAAACTATGCTAAGTAGAAACTGATGGAGTCAGTTTAGACCATTTGATAAGGTTAAGCCTCAGGAACTGGCACATGAGCCAATATTTGAAAGATGAGTAACATTTTAATAGAAAAAAAAACAAGCTATTCATAACTGCCCAAAAAATGGAAACAACTAAGATGTCCTTTAATAGGTGAATGGATAAACAAACTATTGTATATCCATACAATGGAATACTCACAGCAGTAAAGAGAAACGAGCTATTCTTAAATGCACATTGCTGAGTGAAACAAGTCAGTCTGAAAAGGCTATATACTGTATGATTCCAAATATGTTACATTCTAGAAAAGGCAAATCTACAGTTAGTAAAACCAAGATGAGTGGTTGCCAGGCATTAGAGGAGAGAGGTTGAATAGGTCAAAGGGATTTTTAGGGCAGGGAAACTATTTTGTATGATACCTTATAACACAGGATACATGATATTACCTCTTTGTCAGAACCCATAGACCACAAAGAGTGAATCTTAATGCACACAAAGTTTTAGAAAATTATTTAAGATACTGGGGGATCTTAGGAAAGAATTCAAACCATGATAAGAAAATCTAACTGTATGACAAACATATGAAACAATGTCAATGCTCAAAGAAGTGGGTGGGAAGAAAAGGTACTGACCTAACTAACTCTGAAAATGAAGGAAGTCTATCAAATTAAAGACAGAAGGAAATATACATAAGCACTCTAGCTGATAAAGTCATTCCCATAGGGATATGGGTTTACAATTCTAATACTGTTATACATGTATACTAGAACTAAATAATTAACTAAATGAATGAAAGATAATGGGAGAAAGGTTCCTCACTGTTAGAGTGGGAGTTTACAGATGAGTGAGAGGAGAAGGCTGGAATGATACTTGTAATAAAGGATTAATAAGAAACATCAGCATGACTTCATCATTACATATAGACAGCTACTCAAAAATATTTGTTGGTATATCCAGATTAGCATACACACATATATATATTTCCTTGCTCTATCAGAGAAGAGAGCCTATAAAAAAAAGATACCCCTTTTAAAATAAATCAGGCAAGATGAGAAGTTAGCAGGGAAAACATGAGAAATCACTCCAGAAAAAAAAACATAAGATAATAAAGAACTTGATACGGAAAGATAGTAGGAGACAGTAGGAGATCACGACCTTTGGTTCCTGTAAAATTATAAAGAAAAACTCCTTTTCTCCCCACCCATCCAGATACCCCATCTTCAAATAAAATCTAACCAAAACCTTAGCATGAGTGGAAATCTTAAATACAGAAGAAAAACTAGCAAAGGCCCATTATACAGACTAGAGTGAAATATTCATCCCACCCAGCAAACTGAGGGTTTATGGATATGTGGAGCAAGGGGAGGCAGGGGAGATAACTCAAGGTTGTGGCACATGAAATAGCAAAATTTCCATCTTTTGGAGAAATACTATTAATAAAAAAGCATTAATCTATTTATCCCTACAAAATAGTCACACAAAATAAAAACTGAGAAGTTACTCAGAATTTAAAATGACAATTGAGAATGTAATCACTCACTTCTAACAAATCTGAGACAACAGGCAGAACTTCAGGATTACAGATATCTATGGAGTCGTCCCGGTATGTCTTCTTTTTATAACGAATATTACCCAAATGTAGTATTGCTGAGAGAAGAGAGAAAATCCTGCAAAATTAAAACGAAAAATTACAGCTTGCTTGTGTGCATTCTCTAGGCTTATTTCATCCCCTAAGTTCTAATCAAGCAAATTAACTAGTATAAATGTGTAGTAGTCTTCAGAAAATACAATATATGGGAATAATAATTATAACTAAAATGTATTGAGTATTTAGTATGTCAGGCACTGTGCAAAGTACTTTACAAAACCTTAACTTCAGGACTGTACCTACCAATTGTCAGAAAAGTTGTTTGAAGGAGACTTCAGATAATAACTTATCTGCATCTGCTGTAGTGTTACAAAAGCCCATGCCTTTCTAAATGCTTTTCATCCTGACTGGAATGTCCTCTCCCTACACTGTCTATTTCAGATCTACTAAATCAGAATCTCTCAGGCCTTTCGAATCTATTAACCAAGTAGCCTAGGTTATTTTTTTACTAGTAGTATTATTTAAGAAAAGCTTTCTTACATCATATTATGGTACCCTTGATAAATGTTTTTTTACAAAAGCCTGAGATCATTGGGGTATATTACCTAATATCAGGCTACCTCTGTGAAACATCTACATCTGGACCCTCCTTTTTGTCCTTCCCTCCTGGACAACCAATCATTCCCTCCTGTCTCTAAAGAATGTATGCTCCTCTTTCCAGTCAACGACCAATTCCTCCTCTCATGCTACCCCCACCATGAACTCCAGTTTACTCAGAAAAGTTATTATTCCTTTTTCCTTTTTTTTTTAAATATTAAATTTTATTTAGTTACTTTCAAGTACATTTTTTATCACTCATCCCCCCCCCCCCCCCGTCTCATCTGAACCCACAAGAACTTTCTATCAAAATAATCTCATGTTCACTTCTCTTACTTTAGAAAAACCCATCCCAGATCCTTTATCTTTTCTTTCCCTTCTCATACAGCATTAACTTATATCCTTGTCTTCCCTTTGTCATTCCTTATTTACTAGCATATTCTGACACCTAAAATTTCTGAGAGGTTACCAAGGATTTCCATTTAACTAAGAAAAGTGTATTAAAACTCTATCTAAAAGCCATTCCTGGAAATCCATTTATACACATATTTTTGTGCCTTGACCAGTTTATTTCCTCAGGATAAATTTATTCTGTTTGTGAAATTGTAACTCTATGTTTTCCTAAAATTAGGAATTATTCTAAACAAAACAAAGATACTGATTTAGGGACCTAACAGCTATACTTTTAGAGGTCCTGAATCAACGCCTTAATTTATAGGTCTAACTTCTCAAATAATTAAATATTTTATTGTGATTCAAACAAAATACAAGTCAAATATAAAGGAATAAATCATAAAATTAGTCTGGGTTAAATTAAAGAGAAAAGTGTCAACTTAAACATTATAAAAACTAGAAGCCAACTAACACAGAAACACTAATTCCTGAGCCATTTTTTTAAACTATTTTTAGCCCCCTGGCTGGTGGTTCAGTTGGTTGGAGTGTCGTTCCCACACACCAGAAGGTTGGGAATTTGATCCCCAGTCAGGGTACACAGGGAGGGTGACCCATTAATGTTTCTCCTATTGATGTGTGTATGTGTCTCTCCCGCTCTTTCTCTCCCTCCCCACCTCCCCTTCCTCTCTCTCTAAAAATCAACTAACATATCCTTGCTCACCCTAGGTATGCATGCTTTCAGACGATTATGTACCAATGATATAGAAAACGAGAAGGTAAAAAACAGTTTTATAAAGCAACAGTGTTTAAGATCCATGAAACAGCTTCATGGGCACCAGAAAGTCTTATAATTATATGCAAAGGTTTATGAAAGGGTGAGGATTTAAAAAACTATTTTTAGCAGTAGTTTCTATGGTTGCTAATTACACTGTTTCAGAATTTCAGGTTCAAAAATCAGCACATTAATGTTTTCTCACACACAAATACATAATGGATATAGACTCCAGCAATAAGAAATATATAAGAAAATCAATATACTATAATTCAATATAAAAAGATTAATGAATATAAATAATAATCCCTGTTCTCAATAAGCTTATATTCTTGAATTAGGAAGTAACAATATATAACCATACTATGCAACAGGATATCTTCAAATACAGAAGGCAGAAACAACATACAGTTAAAGAAAATTTCATTAAAAACATAGTGCATGAACATATTCTAAAGCAAATAGATTTTGATTCAATGCCAAAATTTAGGCTGCCTGCAAAGTGGTATTAAGAGGAATTTTTTGATGGACCTGAGTGCAACAGAAAAGGATGTTGTGGTTTATTAGCAGATACAATCACTGTCACAACAGAGGGGAAGAGCAGTACCCATGATATGCCCTCTGCCCAAAAAATAAAAAGTATTTGAATGAGTGAAAAAGAGATGGAATATCATTACTTCATGGAATGTATAAAATAATGAATGTTCGGAATAAAACATAATGTCTTAGACATTATCAATCTAGTTAAAATGCAAAGTTTGTGTTACGAAATATCTAAAGATAATATCTGAGCCATAGAGAAAGATCACACTGAATGTCGGGCCACTAAGAACAGAATTTTCAGTGGTTTCCAGTATTATACACTGTCACATCAAAGTGTAAAAGACAACCCTTTGTGTCTGAGAAGTAAATACTGTATTTCTATCTTACATTATCTTTAAAAAATGAAATTAAGCTTCACTATTATTTAGTAGATAGATTGAGACTTCAGTTCACATGTCAGCCAGGTATTAGATGAGGTAAATTCGGTATCCTGAGAGAAGAGTATGAAGTAATACAGCATGGAGTAATTGACAGGGTACTCTCATTTATTTAGTAACTTTCAAGGGAATTGCAGTTTATGCCCCATTAGTGGGTTTGCATATTTACATATTATTTAGTTTTATCTTGCATTAAAAAAATTCTGGCAAATTATCTGCTAACTGAAGATCCGTTCCAATAATGCAATCACAAACACAAAAAATGGTAAAGCTGGTACTTTTCTACTCCTACTATGAGATTAAAAGTTAACAATATAAACGGATCTAACATATTTATACTAATTCCCTCCTCAAAAAATAGTTTTAAGTTTTACAATTTTTCCCTGAGGAGAATCAAGGTTATTTGTATCTTTAATCTTAAATACATTGTTTTATTTTAAATATAACTTACTTTATCTTTATTTCAACCTTTTTACATTACTATTTTGTTTATATCTGCTACAGTTAACAAAACATGTTTAATACAATAGTAAAGACATAAAGTTACAGAGGAAATACACGGAAAATCATGTTTTACTGATAGGTATGCATGCTTTCATAAGATTATGTATCAATGACATAGAAAACAAGGAGGTAAAAAACAGTTTTATAAAGCAACAGTGTTTAAGATCCATGAAACAGCTTCATGGGCACCAGAAAGTCTTATAATTATATGCAAAGGCTTATGAAAGTGAATTTTACAGAAAGAAGAGCTCCTGCTTTCAACTAAATTTCAAAGTATCTCAAGGAATTTATGACAAAAAAAGCAATTCAAAACAAGTCTGTTAGAAAAATAAATTTTCTAAGCCATGCCTAAGATGGAAGAGGCACTAAATCAGAAAAATAAAAAAAAACTGTTTCAAAGAACCAAGAGAGAAATTTTTGAAACACACATCATAATTTGTTCCCTAATGAAGGTATAAAAATACAATAAATAAACTCACTGTCTTCGTGTCTTGGGAAGAAATCCTACCATTTCCATGGCCAGTTGTAAACGTTCAAAGTCATGTCTCAAATCTTCGCCCTCTGTGGTAAAGCAATCCTGTTTATTTAAGGGAAAAAGGGGGAAATCAAGATTACCTATTGAAAACTAACATAAGCCACTTAGAAATCAAGTAATTTTAGATAAGTACACTATACATAAAAATTAGAGCTAGTGAAATATTTAGACATTGTCAAATTCATTAGACTTATCTTATGCAAACTAAAAACATACTTACCAAATTACCATTAAGTTATCTTGCTTCTCCCTTTTACAATCTCCAAGGCAAAAACTTCAAAAGTAACTTATGATACCAACTGTGATTTTGAGAGGTTCTGAAGAGTTTTAGAGACCCAAAGCATTCAACAGAGCCCAAATGAACAAACAAGTGCTATTTATTCAACAAATATTGAACTGCGTTGAATAAAATATTCCTCTTTGAGACACACAGTGTTCACTGACTTTTTTAAAAGTATCAAGCATTGAGTTCCCTCCATAACTCCAAATGTATCACACTTCGGGGAAAGATGGCAACAGCACAGGCAAACACAGTACTAGCCTCCTCGCACAACTACATCAAAATTACAACAAAACTACTGAACCACCAGTGTTCAAAACTACCTGGAATCTGGCTGAATTAAAGTCCTACAACCAGGGAATTAAAGAAACCACATCAAAATTGGTAGGAGTGGCAGAGACATGGAATTGGCTGGTCCCGCACCCATGAACTGGGGGTTAAAGAACAGAAGTATCTCAGCTATAGAGACCCTCCCTGAAGAGTGAGAGGTCCCAGGCCCACACCCCATCTCCTATCCCAGGGTTCCAGTGCTAGGAAGAGAAGTCCTTATTACTTCTGGCTGTAAAAACCAGCAGGGATTAAGGCTGAGGGAAACAGAGGGCTTCTGGAGTCCCGGGCAGTTCCTCTTAAAAAGCCTGTGAACAGACTTACTCAGACACACTAGCTCCAGCACTGGGGCAGCAGCTTGAAAGGCACCAGAAGCATAAGAGGAGGAACTAAAGTGTCTGGCATCAGAATTATCAGAAGTGAGGGAGCTGAAGCATTTATATGCCCATCTCCCATCAGTCACTAGTTCAAGACTTCTTGGCGGGGGGGGGGGGGAGATGCTGTCAATTCCTAGGCCTGCAGAGCACAGAGCACAAAGGTCAGGGTTCTGGGAAAAGCCTTCAGGTGCCAAGATGGAAATACTGACTGCTGCAGGTCATGGAGAGACCAGTGATCTGGTAGGATTCAAACAATAAGGCAGGGAACTAAACCACAACTGTTAAAACCCTTTCAACTAAAAGAAGATAGATGATTCCTCTTGAGCTCAGCTCAAGCTCTGGTCTTACTTGGTAACATGCCATAAACACAGCAAATTGTTCTTTCATGCTATTAGCCTTTTTTCCCTTTGTATGGGATGATAACAACCCTTTCTCATTTAGAAGTGCCCACAATAAGCATGGCATGTAGTAGGCATTTAATAGAGGTATGAGGAAGAGAAAGTGAAGTGTACAGTCATTAAGACATTTTTTAATGCTGTTAATATTTTTTAGAATGGATTTGGAAATCATACTTTTTCATACGTACCAGTTGATAATGCAGAACATAAATCAGAATATCTGACTTTGAGAGTTAGTAAAGCTACTGGAACATAGCCTGACTCGAACCCAATTACAATCAATACTAACTTCCTTCACTACCATGGGGGAAGTCACTTAAATTCAGTTACCACTGCTACTTAGGTGAAAGGCAATCTTACTAACTACAACCAAGGGTTTTATAATGATCAAATATAATATGGATGTTAATGTGGTTTTTATTTATTTTACTTCTGAAATTTATTTATTAAATTTTACTTATTCTTTAGAAAGAGAGAGGAAGGAGAGGGAAAGGGAGAGAAAGACAGAGGGAAAGAAAGACAGCAATTTGTGGCTCTCCTTATTTATACACTCATTGGTTAATTTTTGTATGAGCTCTGCCTGGGTATCAAGCCCACAACCTTGACATACTGGGACGACACTCTAACCAACTGAGCTACCTGGAAGAGACTGGCACAGGGTGAGGAGTAAAGCCAGAAAGGAAACCAGAGGGAACAACCACAAACTTATAAAATGCCAGACAGCAAATGGCAATAGGAGTCTTTATGCTGTAGAAACACTAAAAATGCAAAGATTATAGATTCAAAAGATTTTGAACCCAAACTGCATAAGGATCTACCTGCACTGCAGTAGGTCTTCCTCATGGAAAAATAGGCTGCCAGGTATTATAAAGATGTTTGAATTCCTATAAAGGTAGTAATGACCAGATGTAAGCTTGTTCTCAATGGACAGTAAATTCTAATTCTTCTGCAGCACGGTGATAATGAAAGTATCCTGAGATTTTATGATGACAATTCTCATTAAAACTCTGCCTGATAGTTAGTTGGACCCTAAATCATTCAAAGATTGTTTCAAAAAATGTTTTTTTAAAAATTAGGTGACACTAAACCTTTGCATTGAAGTTATTCAAAACCAGCTCTAAAGTAAAATTATTTGGGTAGATGATTACTATTTAAAGAAGAGAAATTAACATTTACCAAATGTCTTCCACATGTAGGAGTTACTATGAGAGTCACCTGACATAGATAATCTCACTAAATCCTCAAAACACAAAAAAAGATAATTATGGGTATGTATATATATAATTGTATGTACATTTGCACAGGAGGATACTCAGAGGTTAAATAACTCACCTAAATGACATGATTGGCCAAACCAAAATCTATCCCATTCTAAATTCTCTGCTCTATCCTATGTAACCCTATTTGCTTGAGCTTATTTAATAGAATATTCCTTAAAGGACTTAAATCACCATCTAATGGGTAACACCAGGACCCCTGTTAAAACCAATGTTCTCACTGGTATCCCTTGGGATCATTTATACTATTGCATAGTGTATGGTAATACAGTACAAGTGTGTGAACAGTCCTTAACAATCCTCTCTTTCTATAGTGCTAGTCATGTAAGGTCTAATAACTCAGAGGGAAACAAAGTTCAGTTTGCCCCAAAATATACTCTAAGGAGGAGCTATAAGGAAAGAACAAACTAAAAGATCCTCAGACTCACTGCTTGCTGTCATTAATTAACTTGTAAGGGGGGGGAGCAATAGAAATTACAACTAAAATTCAAACTATAATAGACTTGAAAAGACAATAAGCAGGAGGGTGGTGATAAAAGCGATGTTAAAGGAGCAAAAGAATATGGCTACAAAAGTCCTTCCAAAAGAAAAAAAAAGGATAACAATGATTCTAATGGAGACAGCAACAGTAAAAATATTTATTGAACACTTACTAAGTATGCACTCTATCAAACTGCTTAGATGCACTAATTTAATACAAATTTTCACAATAAAGACCCCCCTTAAATAGGCAATAGAGACAAAAGAATTAAGTGACCTGCTCAAGTTCTCAAAACTAGTAATTGGATGAACCAGCATACAAGCCAAGTCCATGTACTTCAGAGCCCAAATTCTAAGGCATTACTTAAACTGTCTAAGGAACAGCAGGTTGGTTCACAATTTCACTGTAAGCTCTGTACAAGCAATAAAGTCTTGTATTTGCCATGAGTTTCCAGGTGTCCTGCCGCCTTCCCAACGAGGCACACTCACCTGGTATAGTAAGTGAAAGATGAAAACCTCTCAAGAGTAGCAAAACAGCGTAAAGTTTTTCTACTAAAATTTATCAGAATCTATAAATTTAAATGTCTGAAATTTATTTTCCAAAATATTCAATCAAAAACCATAAATTACTTGTTTTATTATAAAATGGTAATGCAATTAAACTTTGAGAGAAAAATTAATGTCCATAATTAATAATCAACTCTGAAAGAGGCTAGTTTTTTAATTAGTGGAGTTTGTTATCACATGCAGTAAGAATCAAAGCCACGGTTATTTAACACAAGAACTAAGACATTTTATGTTTTCAGAAGGAATAGTTAATAAATTAGTAGTTCATTAGTTACATATAGATCAGTGTGTATTTTCAAACCATTATACCTGACTTGACTGTAAACTAAAGGGAAGAAAAAAGAGTTTTGTGCTTCTTATGATTATATACTTGTCCTATAACAAATAAGGCTACATTTACCTCATCATTTTATATCACATATGCCCTTAATCACTCAATTTAAAACATAAATATAAAACATAAAGTGTAAATACAGTGTCTTGTTATTAAGAAGTCAGAAAAATTATATACACATTTATTATGTAAAAAGGCTGTTAACTGACACATAAACCAGGAAGGATGTAACTTTTAAAAATAAACAATACTACTACTCATGTGAGTAATGAAAGCACTAAAAAATTATTAAAAAAAATGAATGTCAAAGAAAAAAACCTCTGTAGCTCATAAGGATCTATATCAATGCTGACATCAGGAATGCAATCAGTTTATTATTTGAATAATAAATAAATAAAATGAAATCCATTATTCAAAATAAATAATGAATATAGAGTAAATGTTGGCAAGGAAAAAAAATCCCCAAAATTACATTATCTGTTTTTTAAACAACTATACACTCACACACACAAATCAATCAAAAGAAATTAAACACTGATCTATCTTCATTCCTAAATTGTTTGTATGTCAGCTGATTTCTTTCTAAGTCAAAATAGATGCAAATGTGCAAGGTAAGTGCCCCTTAACAGGAACACATGGTTTTTAGGTACTTGTACTGACCGGCTCAGAGTCATAGCAATAATCATCCCAGCTCTGTCTGAGAGGTTTCTTTGTTATCTGAAAGTAAGGCAGATTAGTTAGGTAGAAATAATGGTTATCACACTTCTCTAATCATGTCTTAAGAGTGTTCGGGTGTCACTGCTGCTGTCCAAAGAAAATTATTTTGTATAGCAGCATAAAACAAGAAACAACTATGTAAACATTCCAAATCTGGGAGATCATATATTATTTTAACCAATCCATGCTTTCTGTTATCCAGTGACTCTAAGATTCTTATTAACTGCTGAGTCACATATGTTATGAATCTCACCTTACAACAAAAATATGTAACGCATGGCCACTGATTACAAAAAGATCTGAAAGAACAGTAAACTCTGAAATTCTCTATTACTAATAACTATCAGCTCATTTATGGGCAATGACTACTTTTTTAAAAGAAAATATTTAATCACCCAAATATAATGAAAATAGTTTAAACGGGAGGGAAAAAACTCAAAAACCACATCAACCTTTTTGTTAAAAAATATACTTAAGTCTATATAGTACAAATGCCTAGTATTATATAAAGAAGTGATGTTTTAAATAACTTTGAAATTATCAATATATCAATACAAAATGATTTTGTTTATATAAATATGCCACTTCATATGTCAGTTATACAGCATGCTATATATACCTTGGGAAAAGTCTAAGATGTGACTTTCATAACCCTAAAACACAATAATCTTTGAGCCATTATCAAAGTGTCAATTTGCTTATAAAAACTTTTAAGGATTTTTTTTAAATAACTAGAAAAGGCTGTCTTTCCATATATATTACATCTTGCCTTCAAAAATTAAAATGAGAAAAACTATTGGTTATTAAAATGAGGTACTGTCATACAAATTCCATTAATATTGGTCCTAGATTTTTTGCTAATATGAAGAATAATATACTTAGGGAAACCAATGTAATGAAAAGTTGTGATAATTACTACTTATTATAGAAGTTTAGGAGTATAACATGAGTTTCATGGGAAGACACAAAATTTTCTAAGTCATTTCCTTTGATGCATTTCATATTAAGCTTTAATAGGATTGTTCCTAAATTATAAAAATAACAATACTCTCAGTATCACAGTATCATGCAAAGAGGTAATATGTATTAGACTTTAAAACATGCAAATAAGGGTTCAAGTAATCCCTTGCAAGGAGCAAGCATTAAGCATTAGTAACATTTGACATGCGTGGTCTGCAAAAGGTAAATTGCTTTGGTAAGCATAAATTATTTTTCTAACATGGAGATAACTATAAACAGTTTGTTATTCTCTTTAAGAGTCTCACAAAAAAGCAAAAGGCACATATATAGTCCCTTAAAACACATGAGTAATAATAATTTTTAAATTTGAGAAGTGCATCACACAAATATTTAAATTGCATGTTGGGAAATGCTAGTTCATATCCATGACCAGATTTGGAAAACCAAGTGCCAAAAGAATAAATAAATAAAGTAATAAACTGTTATCAAGAGCTACAATTTAATAATGCCCTACATTTGAAAATGTTTTTCATTAACACTTACCTGATTAAGGTAATGATATTCTTCTGGTTGTTTAAGATGGAATGCTAATCTCTCTTCTTCACTTGCTCCTGCCAGAAGGTAATAGAATACATGATAGTTCCTGTTGAAAACAAAGAAATATGGCTTTATAATTAGCATGATCTATGATTATCATTTACATGGAAAAGAAAGAAAATATACATTAATGTTTCAGGCTTGCTTTATTTTTTAATACAAAGATGACAAACTCAATGTTTAAGTACTATAAAATAAAATGTTTTGAATGCTGAATTCAAACCAGAAGAATTAAGGCAGCAATATGGCCAAGTTAGAACCTCTGAAAATTCTTTCTTCCATAAAGCCAATGAAAACAGTAGCAAATTTGTGGTCCTGGCCAGGTAGCTCAGTTGGTTGGAGTGTCGTCTCCATATGCCAAGATTTACAGATTCTATTCTCAGTCAAGGCACGTAAAGAATCAAACAATGAATACATAACTAAGTGGAAGAACAAATAGATGTTTCTTCTCACTTCTTCTTTCTCAAAAATCAATCAACAAAAAAATTTTTAAAAAACACTAGCAAATTTGTCAAAATCAACTTTTTAGAACTCTGGAAATTAAAAGTTTACCACAATGCAGGGTGTGTTTACAAACTACACACAGGCGAATCTCAGTAAAACCTATAAACTTCTGCCCTTTTAACTTGTCCTGTTCCATCTGCTGATCGCCAGATCCATGGTAGCCTTCAAAACAAAGACTTTGCAATCCTGATCAACAGCAGAACTCTGGCAGATTCCAAAAGGGGCACAACTGGGTTGGAGCTTGTTAGAGCCTTATTCCATGATTATTTGAACTCTGGTGGAAGCCATGTTTCAAATTGTCTTTATTTGACCTGATCCAAAGTAAGCCCATTGTGAAAATCCTTTCCCCAGAGGCATTTGTAGAAAACAATTACAGGCGATTATTTAACTTGTTGCTGTCTGAAACAGTAGATAAATGTTGGGGCAAACAACGTTTAAAGGAAAACTGAGACTCTCCACACAGTCTTTGGAAAGCTCCAATATATTCCTGAGTATTTAGGTAGCTATATACACATGTTCAAAGCCACATGCCAACTCTGCACACACCAGAAAAGGTAGTAAACTCTCACTTCTGGTTAACCTGGAAGGTCTGTACAAGCAGTAAGTAAATTTGAAGAAAGAATTATAAAATGCCTACCTGAGTGTAAAAGGCATGATCCAATACACAGAGTCCTTAATCAAATTTACTATTTTCAAGCATTTAAGGAAATCTCTGTTTAATCCACTATATAACCAAGCAGATATACAAGTATTTCAATGCCCATACTTGGAAAAAAATACATACCTCACAAAGTTAGCTCAGAAAAGTCAAGAAACAAACAGCAAAAACAAGTATCACCACTCCAAATCCTGGAAGAGGGAGAAGCTCATCTCCAGAGCTGTCATACGATTATTTAAAAGTTCCCATTTTCAAAAAAATGTTTGAGGCATACAAAGAAACAAAGTATAGCACATACAAACAAAAAAGAAAAACTAATCTCTAGTAACTGTCCCTGAGGAAGCCCAGGCATTACTTATAACACTTTTAATCAACTGTTTTAAATATGTCCGAAGACCTAAAAGAAACTAGGTTTAAACAACTACAGGAATATGAGAATGATGTCTCATTAAATAAACCATCAATAATTATATAGAACTTATCAAAAAAACTTTAAAGTTGAAAATATTCTTTAATTATAGATTTTCTAAAAAACAAAAAAAGCTAAAGGAGGTCAGCATCAATCCAAACATAAAGAATGAATCAGTGAACTTTAAGTCAATTGAGACTAGCCTAAGAAACATAAAGATAAATGAATAAAGAAAACTGAATACAGTCTCAGAGATCTGTGGGACACCATTAAGTAGACAACAACACTCGCATAAAGCGGGGCACCAATATATGGAAAATGGGAGTCCAAAAGAGAAAAGAAAAGGTGTTAAAGAATATTTGAAAAAGTGACCAAAAGTAACTCAAAATTTGGTGAATAACCATAATGTGCAAATCAAAAAAAAAAGAAAGAAACTCAACAAATTCTGGGAGGTAGGGGGATCAAAGAGAGCCAAACGTGAACCAATCAAGACTGATGAAAGTAAAAAAAAAAATTATGGTTTTTTTTTGGCCCTGACTGGTATGGCTCAGCGGATTGAGCATTGTCCTGCAAAACACAAGTTCGCTGGTTCAATTCCTGGTCAGGGCACATACATGGGGTGCAGGCAGGGTCCCTAGTTAGGGTTGTACAAGAGCCAACCAAACGGTGTTTCTCTCCCTTTCTCCCTCCCTTCCTGTCTCTCTAAAAATAAATAAATAAAATATTTTAAAGTTTTTTGTAATATTTCAATTACAATTGGCATTCAATATTGTTTGATATTAGTTTCATATGTACAGCACAGTAATTAAGCGTTTACATAATTTATGAATTCGCCTAGCAAGTCTAGTACCCACCTAGCACCATACATAGCTATTACAATATTATTAACCATATCCCCTATGCCATATTTCACATTCCCAAGACTATATTATAACTACCTATTTGTACTTCTTAATTCCTTCACCTTTTTCACTCAACCCCCCAACCCCACCCTCATCCAGAAACAATGTTTGTTCTCTGTATTTAGGAGTCTGTTTCCATTTTTTTTTCATTTATTTGGTTCTTTTTTTCTGGTAATTTAAGAATTATGTGATCATTTTATTTTATTTTATTTTCATCATACCAGTTTTTTATTTTTCAAAAGGATCTATAAAATACTGCTTTATATGGCCAGTGATGGAAATTTCATTTGAATATTCCCTGAATTGAGTTATATTCATCTCTTCAGAAATATTAACGTTATTTTGGGTTAAGTACAGTGGTATTTTTATATTAAGAGTCTGTTCTTTCGGGGTTTTTTATATTTTAATTGTTGCTCAAGTACAGTTTTCTGCCTTTTACCCCCATCCCAGCCCACACCCCCTTGTTATTGTCCATTTACACAATGGAATTCTATGCAGCAGAAAGAAAGAAGGAGCTCCTACCCTTTGCATCTCATAGATGGAACTGGAGAGCATTATCCTAAGCAAAATAAGCCAGGTGGTGAAAGACAAATACCATATGATCTCACCTTTAACAGAAATCTAATCAACAAAACAAACAAATGAGCAAAATATAACTAAAGACGCTGAAATTGAGAACACACTGACAGTGACCAGAGGGGAGAGGGGAGGGAATTTCAGGGGGAAGGGGAAGGCTTTGCGGGAACAAGTATAAAGGACACATGGACAATAACAAGGGGGGGATGTAAGTGGGAGGGAGGTGGCGAGGGCTGGGGGGTGGGCTGGGATGGGGGTAAAAGGCAGAAAACTGTACTTGAACAACAATTTTTTTTAAATTTAAAAACAAACAAAAAAAACTCTGAAATATTTGGTTCTTTAGATTCCACATATAAGTGAAATCATATGGTATTTGTCTTTTTCTCTCTGACTTATTTCACTAAGCATAATACCTTCTAGGTCCATCCATGTGCTCAATCACAAAAGATAATATTTAATTCTTTTTATGGCTGAGTAATATTCCCTTGTATATACATACCACCTCTTAAGTATCAAATCAACTACTGATGGGCATTTTAGGTTGCTTGCACATTTTGGTCATTGTAAATAATGCTGCAACGAACACAAAAGAGCCAAGGGTACATATACCTTTTCAAATTAGTGTTTTAGATTGCATCAAATAAATACCCAGAAGTGGAATTGCTGAGTCATACAATGGGTATATTTTTTTAATTTTAACAATCTCCATACTGTTTTACATAGTAGCTGCACTGATTTGTAATCCCACCAACAGCGCTTCAGAGTACCCTTTTCTCTACATCATGGCCAACTCTTGTTCTTTACTGATACAGCTATTCTGACAAGTGTGAGGTGATACATCAGTGGAGTTATAATTTGCATTTCTCTGATGATTAGTGACATTGAGCATCTTTCCAAATGTCTATTAGCCACCTGTAAGTCTTATTTAGAAAAAATGTCTATTCCAATCCTCTACCCATTTTTATTCCAGTCCTCTACCCATTTTTAATGAGATTGTTTTTTGGTGTTCAGTTGTATGAGTTCCTTATATATTTTTGTACATTAACCTCTTTTCACATGTATCACTGGTGAGTATCATCTCCCATTCAGTAGGCTGTATTTTCGTTTTATTTGTGGTTTCCTTCACTGTGCAAAAATTCTTTAGTTTTATGTAGTCCCATATGTGTTATTTTTTCTTTTTTGTTTCCTTTGCCCAAGGATACATATCCAAAAAAAAAATCAGTAAGAGAAATGTCAGAGTTTATGTTTACACCTATGTTTTCTTCTAGTACTTATATGGTTTTGAGACTTATATTTAAGTTTTTAATTCATTTTGAGTTTATTCCAACATGTTATAAGAAGGTGATCCAGTTTCATTCTTTTGAACTTACCTGTTCAGTTTTCCCAACATCATTATTAAATAGACTGTCTTTACACCACTGCATGTTCTAGACTCCTTTGTCAGTGGTAATTGACCACATAAGCATGGGTTTATTTTGGTCTCTTTATTCTCTTCCATTGATCTATGTGTTGGTTTCCATACCAGTACTATGCTGTTTTAATTACTATACCATTGTGGTATAGTTTGATATCAGGTAACATGATACTTGCAACTTTGTTCTTCTTTCTCAAGAGCAGTGTAGCTATCAGGGGACTTTTGTGGTTCCACATAAATTTTAGAATTATTTGTTCTAGTTCTGTGAAAAAATGCCACAGGTATTCTGATAGAGATTGCATTCAATCTATAGAATTCTGTGCGTAGTACATACATTTTAACAATGTTCATTCTTTTTTTAAGAAGGAGACTTCCTTTTTAAAAAAATTTTTTTAATTATTTTTAGAGAGAGGGGAAGGGACGGAGAAAGAGTGGAAGAGAAACATCAATGAGTGGTTGCCTCTCATGTGTCCCCTACTGGGGACCTGGCCTGCAACCCAGGTATGTGCCCTGACTGGGAATCAAACCGGTGACCCTCTGCTTCACAGGCCCGTGCTCAATCCACTGAGCTACACCAGCCAGG